AAAAAAATTTAATAAGAAATTTTTATTATATTGAATTAGAAATTTATGTCATAAAATTTGAATATTAAATTTCAAATGAATAATATTGACAATAAATGCTGACGAATTTACATTGAGTTGAAAATTTGAATTTTTTCGTAAATTAAATTTCAAATGAATAATATTGACAATAAATCCTGACGTGTTAGGAATCTGAATTTTTCGTAAATTAAATTTCAAATGAATAATATTGACAATAAATGCTAATGTGTTAGAAATTTGAATTTTTCGTAAATTAAATTTCAAATAAATAATATTGACAATAAATGCTGACGTATTAGGAATCTGAATTTTTCGTAAATTAAATTTCAAATGAATAATATTAATAATAAATGCTGACGTGTTAGAAATTTGAATTTTTTGTAAATTAAATTTCAAATGAATAACATTGACAATAAATCCTGACGTGTTAGGAATCTGAATTTTTTGTAAATTAAATTTCAAATGAATAATATTGACAATAAATACTGACGTATTATGAATTTGAATTTTTTGTAAATTAAATTTCAAATGAAATTAAAAATAAAGAATCTTAGTATTCACATTGTAATTGACTTATCAAACATCCTCAAAAAAAACTTACTCTTGATAATGCTATTGTCTTAGCATGAAGTAGAAATGGTAAATGTCTTTCAATTAAATATATAAACAGTAAAACCTCTTTATAATAGCAATACGATAAAAAACATTATTAGTTTACGTGTCTTAATAGTATTAGATGTCATAATACATAGTGTTATAAATGTAATCATAATAATATTAATATTACAAATGTTTTAACACATAGTAGAAATAGTGAATATCTCTCTTCGAATTATATTGATAACAAAACTCTTTTACAATGGAAATGTGATAAAGAATATATATAGATTGCAAATTTAAATAAAGTAAAAGATTATAATAATTGGTATTCAACATGCGGTAGGTAAAACTTAACTATAGTTAATATACAAAATTTAGTGTAAACTAAAAATGGCAAATGATTTTAGATAAATATTATGACGCACATACAAAATTAGAATGAAAATGTGAAAAAGATCATAAATAGGTAACAAAATCTAACTGTATTTTAAAAGACTATTGGTGTTCCTTTTATTCTAAATATAAATAGGAAAATTTATGTCGTGGGATTATTTCTAATATTTAGGTTTACCATCAAAAAACTGTAAACCTGATTTTTTAAAAACATCAGAGTATCCAAAAGGATTAGAACTTAATATTACTTACTATGATTATAGTTTTGCAATCAAAGTCTAAGGTAAATAACATGAAAAATATGATAAGTTCTTTCATGAAGGAGATCCAAATAATTTTATCAAACAGCAAAAGTGAGATCAAATCAAAAAAGATCTTTGTGAAAAGAATCAGATAATTCTTATTGAAATATGGTATTTTGAAGATCTACATATAGTCATTCTCCAACAACTTCAAGAACTGCATCTTATATTTTAACTAGTATTATTTAATATTATATTATTTCTAGAGAAAAAGAGTGGTAAATATACTGTATTTTTTATGCATTACTATATTTTTATGATGTTCTATAACTAACTAAATTCTGAAGTATTGAAGGCTAAAGAATATACTAAGAAGCATGATAGCCAATGTCTAGGAAAAACTGGTCAGATACATGAACATGGTATTTATCTTTGGTCTTGTAAGAATAATACATACCAATAGAAATATTCATTAAAATATATCATGAAAAAATTTGAGTGGTATCCTCTATACTACTATACAAGCGGTAAATACAAATGTCAATATATTTTTAAAGATCTGCTAAGAAAGAAATTCCTATCATGCAGGCCTAATTTTTTGGATGGAATGCAACTTAATGGATATAATAAGAAATTGCATCTTGCATTCGAGTTTTAGGGTAAGCAACACTTTCAGTTTGTTCTGAAGCATTTTTATTCTAGAGGTCAGGTAGATTTAGATAAACAGAAAATGTGTGATCAGAAGAAGCAGAATACTTGCAAAGAGTAAGGTATATACTTTATTGAAGTGCCTTATACTGCAGACTTATATCTGTTCATTAGATATACATTAATTGAGAAAGGATTCCTTCTCCTTTGATTAAAGATCAGTAGGATGTTCTATATACAATGAATGCATTATTCTATGGTATTTTTTCTTAGTAATACTTTAAAAAAAATACTTTAACAAAGATTGAAAATGTGTTAATTTATATCATACATACCAATATGTATTGTGACGGAGTGAAAGTAAAAAAATAAAGTATATATATGGATAAATAAATCTCAGGTATACTTGTAAAAATTTAGTCACAGGATAGTAAAAAGATTTTTTAAATACTTTTTATAATAGGTAATAGTAAATAGTAATTCAAACAGAAACTTTTGTGAGAAATTAACACTCCCATATTTTATCTTATTTAATTGTCATCTTAACTGATATTTCTTAACTTCTATCTATCTACTAGAAGAACAATAAACATATTCCTTATATGGTGAAATTATTTTAGCTGGATTAATTTTTCTGATATATTTTGAGTAACTTTTTTCAAATAAAGCATGAAACTTATCATAAGCTATATCATACTCTTTTTATATCTTAGGATTTATTACCATCTGTTCTTTTCTAAGTATACCTAAGAATTTCTTTCTATTAGAAATACCATTATTCCTCACTGTCTCTCAAACTCATTTTACCAAAGGTTCAGGTCTCTTCTTGTAATTCCTGTAAGCTCGCTGAATAACTGTTGCATAAAAATTTTCAAAGCTATAATAATAGTAATATTTAAGAATAAAAATCACAAGATGCTTCATTGATCTTCCTAAAATACTTTATTTAAATAGTTATAGATTAGAAGATCTAACCTGAAATAGGTAGATCATGCATAGCGTCTGCAGGTGATACATTTCATACATAATGCTTTCAGCTAATTTCACTAGGCGACCATGCATGCAGATTATGTAGTCGCAAAAAAATAATTTATGAATATAGTTGAGATAAATTTCTATAATTAAAACATTTCTCTGAATCAGTCAGTCAAACTGGTTAAATAATCATGACTTTTATCCTATCTCTTAATCTTAACACGATGCTTTTTGTGAATGGTAATAAGTTATTTTATTTTGCATATTGAGACAAAATAAATATTTCGCCTGTATTGCTTTTGCAATTCGATAATTAATAAGAAGTTAGTGAAATCATTTCTTATCTGGTAGGTGAAATACAAGCTAGCTCAAAATTTGGAGCACTTGGCATCACTGATATACATTTTTGATGTCTCAGAGATTTGTTATTCCAGCTATATGTCCCAACCTGTTCCACACTATGTCTCAAATGTCCTATCTGTCCTATTTATGTCTTATTAGTGTCCCATTAATGTCTCATGACAACACTGCTTGGCATAGTATTTTTTGTTATGGTCATTTTGGCTAAAAGGTAAACTTTATAGCCAGTTGAATGACTATTATAATCATATGATACTGATGCCAATTTATTCTTTTTTAAATGTGAAGTAGATTGAGATGAAAGTTCTAGCTGAAGACGTTTCATTTCAGCTTCTTCTTGTAATATATACTGTTTATACTACTAGATCTAAAATTTCTTTCTATCAATAGCTTGGAGAATTTCTTTTCTTTTTACATCTTCGATTGGGTTAACTTTACTAATAATACATCTCTTCAAGTAGCCATCTTGATAGAGAAATTTACCTATAAGCCTTTTAGGGATGAATACTAGGGAGTCACATATACTACAATATATATAATTTATTAGATTTCCGCTAGGATATAACCCTTTACTATCTTCATAAAACTTTGCATACATGCAAATATATTCATTCTTAGAAAATATTTCTGGGTTCTTTTCAAGTATTTTTTTAAATAGATCATGAATATGAGAGCATATATTTCTGGTATTTTATTATCATGTTTATATTGTAAAAGATGTATTGCTTTTATTATCTTATTATATCTATTATCACGATCAAGCAAACAAAGCTTAATAGTAGGCATTACTATCTAAATCCATTTTTATAAATCTTTAAGCGATAAAATAGTGTTTTTAGTGATTTATATCGTTTATAGTGATTTATAGTAATTTATATCAGTTTGTAACAAGTATATTATAATAAATATCAGATTTATTTTTATTCGATTGTTCAAGTGAAAACAGATGTTATAATCCCAATATCATGATTCAGTTAAATTAGATCTGATCACTATAGACGGCTAAACTATATCACATATGATCTCCCTAATTCCCTTGATAGTTTTAGGTATGTTCCAGGTTTTATAAATTGCGAGATGATCAGCCAATCAGATTTGAAAAGTTTTTATTAATAGCATATACAAGTTAAAAAAAGGAGAAAGGTCTAATATGAACAAAACTTTATTTTACTTTTCATTGATAAGCACATAATTTATTTACAGATAAAAAATAACCGAAAGGAAAGAATCAATATAAACTATTTTTTTTATTTTAGGTCAACGAAATCATGTAAATAATATTTCATACTATTATTTGCATTTTTGTTAGACTATGAAACATTGGCTTGATCATCATTCTTGATTTTGATTGTTTATTCATTCTTATTGCGGTCTGATACAATGTGATCCCATTATTAACTATAACCTAGAAAGGTATATTAGGATTAATAATATTATATAAATAATGTCTGCACAATTGATCGCCTACTTACTCAAATTATGTTCAGGATTTGATAGCACTGCAAGGCAGTACTCCACAATGTGGAACTCCTTAGAAGCTCAAACTCTCCAATTAATATCATGCAATAGATCCCTTTAAATCAGAGGTCTATCACATAGGCTCTTCCCAAGAACCCTAAAAACAAAAAATAGAAATTTCAATATGAAAAACAGAAATTATACTGTTATTTATTCACAAAATGTACTTATCGATAACTTGCATGTCACATATAACCAGATTATCTGCATCATCTTTGATAGATTTATCTATTGCATACTTCATCATTTCCTGAGGGAGACAAAATCCTCTGAAACAAGAGCAGTGTTCGTTTTATTCAGTTTGATCTCAATGATAAACAATTTAACGTGTTTTTGTGAATTCATGATCATGACAGTGAAATCAGGTTTTGTACCTAAACGTTCAAGATCAAAATGTCTTTTTGCGATTGCTGATGATTCCAACATCTTATTCGCTCTGTGTGTAAAAGAAGAAAAATAAAATAAGGCTTATATATAATAAAAACATAATACTACTAATATTGCTCCATTAATTATTAATTATTAACAAATACCCTTCAAAGGTAATTCTTTTATTGTTCTTAAAGAAAGGTTTTAAATATTATTAGGATAATATTTCCAATTGTGTGGATGTTTTCAACAACATAATTTCTTGTGAATAAGGACTGCTTATTATTAACCCTATAACAAACGAGAATAAGTTCGTTTTGAATACAAAACTTTCATTGCAGTTTTCATGAAACATACAGTTTCCTAAACATCTTTATGATTATTTCTTCTTCTTCGGTTATAACTTCAAAATTTCGTAAATAGTGCCTTGCAAGTTTTTAATGTTTAGTTTGATTTTGTTCCTCACACGGGATCTACAGATACTCAGAATTAGAACTGAAAACTGAAATGTGCCTCCTCAAAAATTAAATATATTACTTTAATGATGTTTAAAGATTACTAATCTTATTCAGGATCGGTGTATATGAATATAGCTTACGAAACTTAGCAAAGAGCTCTACCTATAATTCATCATCAAAATATTCATATAATCTGAGGGGACTTTGTTCTTGAAATACAAATACATAGCTTAAAATCCTGTAAAAAGGAAAAGCTTAGTCATGTCTTCATAATTTATATTACTATATGATACTTACAGTTCTTCTGTAGCACTCAAAGTAACTTCTATTAACTCACATTTTTTAATCACGATTGCACGATATTTACGACATATCTCAGTGATGTCGATGTCATTTACAATCCACTGGAAAGAAAGGAATAACAAATAAAAAAATAATTAATATTTCATTCATATCACGTTATGCATTAAAAATGCTTACTCGAATTGAATTTTCATTTAGATGCCATTCTGAAACACCAGGACCAGTGAGGTAATCTATAGAATAACTACAGTTTTCTACAATTATATATTCTTCACTAATATTATAATCAGAAATAGATGGTATCACTGGGTTCATTTTCGTTTATCTTAATGTCTAAGTTGAAAGGTTGCAGTAGCTGATTCTACACGTTGGGAGTTTCTGACCTTAGGATTTTCTCTAAGTCCTACAGGTATCCGTTATACTTGAATCAACTCAGCAATTTATCACG